GTAGCAGAAAATTTGAGTAGGTCGGAGAACTGGCAAATTTATTTTTATTTATTTATTTGATGGTGCACACCCCTTACAAACCTCTTAGGAATGGGGTGAGGTCAATAGTGGATAGGTTGAGGTTAAAGGAGTGGGGGTTAGAGGATGTAACAACAGAGTCAGGTAGTGCATTCCAGGCATTGACCACTCTGTTGCTGAAGTCGTACCTTCTGCAATCGAGTTTGAAGCCATTTACATTGAGTTTGTATCTGTTGTGTGCTCTTGTATTGTTGTTGTTGAAGCTGAAGTAGTCATTGACTGGTAGGAAATTGTAGCAGATAATTTTGTGTGCTACGCTTAAGTCTAACCATAGGCTGCGTAGTTCAAGGTTGTCCAAGCCCAAAATCTCAAGCCTGGTGTTATAGGGTATTCTGCTGTGAGCAGAGGAGTGTAGTATCTTCTCGTGAAATACTTCTGGACTCGCTCGATTGTATTAATGTCCGATATGCAGTGAGGATTCCAGACTGATGAGCTGTATTCAAGTATTGGTCTGGCAAAAGTTTTGTATGCTCTAGTTAACAATTCGAGGAGGAGAAGCTTCGTAAGATTAGATTTATAACTCTTAATGCCTTTTTGACAATGCTGTTACAGTGAGCTCTGGCACTTAGGTCATTTGATATGAGAACACCTTGACAGAGTGAGGATCATCAACAAGGTATCCACCTAGTTTGTATTTGGTGTACTGATTATTTTTTTTACCAATGTGTAGGACAGAGCATTTGTTGGTCGAGATTTGGAGTTGCCAGATGTTTGACCATTCAGACACATAATCAAGGTCACTTTGAAGGATAGTAGCATTGTTGGTGGTGTTGAATAGTTTTACGTCATCCGCAAAGAGGTGATCACAAAGGTCATTTATATAGAGTATAAAGATGGTGGGTCCTAGGATGCTACCTTGGGGGATACCACTGTTAACTGGAACAGGGTTTGATATAGTGTTCCCTATTTTTACTATTTGTTGCCTGTTTGACAGGAACTCCATTTATGAAGGGATCCGGAAATGCCGTAAGAGTTTAGTTTTAACAGTAGTTTGTCATGTACCAATGAATCAAAGGCTTTGCAGAAGTCTATGTAAATTGTGTCTATAGCTTTACCCTGGTCAAGTAGAGTAGTCCATATGTTTTTGCAGTGTAGGAGTACCACTCTGACTGGAGATTTTACAGTGTCCTTCCCCTGCCATGCCCACCAAGCCACACCCATGGAACCGGTAGTAAAAAAAATTGAATCTCACCACTGGCCTGTTCTCCTGTGTTTGGACAATGGCCTTCAATGTGCCAGATGAATGGGAATCATTGTTGGTTAAGCAATTAAAATCAGAGCTCTCCATTCTATCAATAGATTCAAGTTTATACTTATTGTTCATTGCGTTTGTGGAGGTAGAGGATATCCAAGATATTATCAGGAGATTTCAAAAGTCGTCTTTCTTATTTGTCACTCAGCACATGCTTTGTGAAAAAAAATATAATCCTTTAATTAATCCCTTACCGTGTTTCTGAAGGGAAAGATCATTTTGGTCTCAAAATACTTAGTTAAATACAAATATTACAGTATTCAACATCTTTATTTAGAAACATTTTCTAGCGGTATTAAGTATCATTAATGTAGTAATCAAAATCTCGAAACTTGCTCATACATATTATTATTTCATTATTATGCATGCTTAAATAATGATTCAATAATTTCTGAGCTCATGGATACCCAGCATCTCTATGCTTTCATTAATGCATCCTGGCTTTTTTCAGGCTTCTGCACATGTAAAAAAAGATGATGATGCTTTAAGAAATAATTAATTATGGTTAATATGACTGTAAAAGCAGAAACAGCCATATTCAAGTTTGTGCTGGGCTCAGGATAGAGGGCAACAGAATTATCTGGCATTGGTCTGAAGCCAAAATCAGAGTTAAATTTAGACATTTGTCATTTTTAATTTGTGTTTGTCTCTGTCTATTTGTATTATTGCTAAGAGCGTCAAGAATTGCCTACATATGACCTACTCTGATCTCTGAAAAGCCTGCATATGACCTACTGTGTTGAGCCATTAAAACTGCCATTGATTAGCACAAAATACAGAGGGGTTGGGTCTGGGGAATGATCAACCCTACTTCCATTGATTTCATGAGAGAAAAGAGGCTATATCCATGCAATCCTATCTATAGTTATCGGTCTAACCCAATACCAAGAGCCACTAGTTCTCTATTTTTGAAATTTTATGGTAGTAGCCAGTAAGCCAGTTTAAATGTGTTCTGTATTTTCTGATTTTGTGTGAGAAAACAGAAGATAGTGTGAACCTTGATAAACTGCTTTTTCTGTTGAATAAAGGGATTCTTACAAGTAGCAAAAAACTGAGAATGTCACTGAACCTAACATGCCTGCCCAAGGAAGAGTAAAGCCACCCAAGGAAGAATGAGCCGCTTGTCCTTTCTCTCTTGATCTGGCTAAAAGCTGGGGAAAGAGAGCAGTTGTTCACTTGTTCATTCATAGGCTCCATGAGTAGTGGCAGAAACTGGCTTTGCCAAATAACTGTTAAGAGAATGGTACTACCGTAGAATAATGGTGATCTAAAGCAACATGAAAAAGACCCAAAGTTGCAACCTATTTGAAGCATTTTTCTTTCTTTTCTTTTTTTGGTTGGATGCTCTTCCTTGCCAAAAGATGAAGCTTGCAGAGGGTGTGTATATGAAGCTGATAATTCTCTGGCAATATCTACAGAAATTTTCTCACAGCCCCTGCAGGTATGGATCCAGGAAACAGGACCTGACTGGACCAACCAATACTAAGAGTTACTGAACCTCAGAAGTCAGTGTAAATCTAAGATTTCAGCTTAAGTGATTTCCTGTTGGGGCTTGTTTTTATCCTGATTAAATATAGCTATAAGCCGTAACTAAGAGAGGACTCCAGGATAAGTTCCTTTGTTTCTCCTTAACTTGAAGTAAACATCTATAAATTCAATTGGCTCCATATTAGAAATTTAACTTCAAGATGGAGAAAGCAGAAAGCGGCTTAGGTAGAAACCAAAAAACACACCTGAGGTTTAATTTCGGACAATTATGAATGGGGGACTTCTGTATTCCTCACATTATACAACCTCCCTAGGTAGGATATTTTAATTCCTGGGCCCATATTTTCAGTAGCATACTCCTACCTCCTTTCTTACTTTCCACCCCAGATATTGCAAGAATGTTTAATATCTTGCCAAAACAAAGTAATCAGAATGGATTCCATAAATAAAATACATCTAAATAATTTTGAGTTTTCCGTGAGTTTTCCACAGCCATGACTGACAGCTATGCTGTTTTAAAGTAGCTACTGTTTGATATCTTTACATCAATCCAAATGAAAAATAAAGAAGATTAATATCTCTATTATTAATATCTCTGGAGACAGAATGGCCTGAAAGGAAGCAATCTACATAACAGTACACCAAATTCCTTATCAAATGGAAACAGCAAAACCCCATAACTATTTTCATCTTTCATGGTGCACTTATTGCAATAATATCACTTTCATTTTAAATTCAAGGGATAACATTTCTATTGAATGCCTGGTATTTTTTCATTTTTGTCTGACAAAGTAAATGTTATTGTACCATTCATGGAGCCACTGAATAATGAAATTGATGGTAAAAAGTAGTTAGGTACAGGGATAGGAATTTGCAGATCAAAATAGCAGCTAAAATGCTCAGAAACTCATTCAAAAGTCTGCATAGCTAATATCCTCAAGAGAATACTGGGCTGATTTGTGCATGGGAACATTTTGTTCCAAACAGATAAGAAACCAAATTAACATAGATGTAGGCCCACGTTTTTCAATGTCCTGTGGAGGTGCTACTTGCAGTCCCTCCAAAGCTGTGATTACCATAAACAAAACACATCTTTGCTGAAGAAGAGTACAAACTTTGCAGAAAAGCAGCATGAAGCAACAAATCATTATTTATTTTCTTTTTCTCTTCACTGCAAAAGCTGCTGGAAAAGAGCAAATTGCAAGCAATCTTCCAGCCACAAAGCCCATGAAATCTTTTTCCCTCTCCCAGTTTCATTGCTTCTTTTTCTGAACTCCACTTCTCTGGGACTTTCCTTGCTTCCCCCTTGAAGTTAAAATCAGTTTTAAAAAAGAAGGCTCTGTCTACTCTTACCTCCTACCTCTTGCTCACTCTGAGTAGCAGACAGAACTGGTTTCACCTGTTCTGTTCTGTTCCAGTACAGGCAACTCTATACTGAGTATACGCAGTTACCTCTGCCTGTTTATTTACCCTTCATCTTTTAGCTGTGCTTTTTCTGTAAAGATGGTGATGGTGGATTTGCTCCTCTTGAACACCTCCCAGTAAAAAAAAAGGGGGGGGGCGGGGGTGGACAATTGAGCAAATAATGGTGGTAGTTGTTTTGTGGTAAGATTTGAATGAACGGGAAAATGTGGGCATGCTGTCGTTTCTCTTCACTAGCCAGTTGCCATCTCAGCCATTTGCCTTTTCCATCAGAATTTTCATTCTTGAGTTCCTGGTTAAAACATGTTTCCTCCCCCTTTCTGTTTTTGATGCAATACCGCCAAATTTCCAGCAATTTAGACGAAAGACAGCAGATGAGAAGTATTTGTATTTCCTCTACATTTGTCACTTTCAATCACTTCCACTTTTGTGGAGTAGTAGCCTGGCGGATAATGAGCATTTCTCCCACTGTTAGTGGACCTAGTCATATACACAATCATAAAAGGGACAACTTCTCTTGAGTCCTAGGTAGCAACACTGTTTACTAGGACTTGAAAAAGACATAGTTGAAGAGAACAGGGATTAGCAATGGGAGCGGCAAACTTTATTCTGGTATTGATTTGGTTAAAGATAAGTGGGCCTTTCCTAGCATCCCAAACCATTAATCAAGCCAAAAATTATTGATAATTTTAAATTCAAATTTAGAGGAGAGAGGAATATTGCTTCACTAAATGTAACACAGTTAAATATTTTTTTTTAGGTTACCTAACCAAACTCCTGCGAAACCATACTGTGTATGCCTGTGACGGTGATCATTTGAGTCTGCGGTGTCCTCGGCATTCAACAATAAGTGTCCAATCTGCATATTATGGGCAAGCTTATCACTTGTGTAGTGCACAGCAACCTGAAGTCATGGCGAAAGAGCCCCTAAACTGTGTAGCATCTACTACCTTGCAGGTATAAAATACTATATTGTAGCATTTTAAACACATCAGAAATCTTTTAGATAATTTATTTATAGTAGATTAAAAATCAAATGAATAAAGGTTCAGCATGTTACATCTGGAATATTAGTTCTAACAGTTGATTATTGCAGATGAGTTGGTTTAATTTGCTGGAGGATTTGTAGTATATAATTTATTACGAGGCCTTGTCAAATGACATTTCTTCACAATTTTGTCCCTTCAGGATAAAGAGTTTATTCATATTGACACAAATAATAAATCTGAGTACTTTTAAAGCTGATAGTTGGTTGTTCAAAAATTTTAAAATGACATTCACATTTTAAAGTCCATAACTTTTTAAACGAAACTGGCTGAAGTTTGAAGTAGAGTGGCACTGGTTACTCAACAACGCATTGGAGCAGGATCTCATCATTACTGTAAGAGTGATGCAGTTTGGGAGGTGGGAAGAGTTGTCACAGACCGAGTTGCTGAATGAGCTGTCTGAGTTCCTCTCTTTCCAAGCAGATTGAGACAAAAGACCATCCAACAATGTGAATGTCTGTTAAGATACATGACCAATGGTCCAATGTTAATTTGTGCCAATCCACTAGTTTTGTCAGAATTGTCTTGGCATTAGTTTAGGTCAGTGGAGTTTCCTGAAAGACTTAAATTTATATTGCCAATAGAAAAATTCTGGCTCCAAATTTTCAATTAGCCACAGAATATATAGCACACTATTGATAAAATAATGGAATACTACCAATAATAACCAATTTTGTAGCGAGACTAATTAATACTAGGCTAACAATTCAGAGGATCTATATAGAGATTTCTGATTTCTCACCTTTGGCATTTTTGGCTGCCTTCTTGGAGATGTGAAAATATAATTGTAGAGCATTTTTTTTTGTCCCAAGCCATTATAATGCTACAGCCCAGCTAATTATACTTATGTTTTCTGGGAATGTTGCTAATGCTGCCCTTTTCTAAGGCAATAATTATTTCCTTAATAGAATAACTTAGAAATAGCAACATAAAGAATAAGAAAGTTTTTTTCTAAACAGAAATGATGTCAAAAAAGTGGTCAGATTGGAATGTACCCTACTTAGTAGGATCTTTAGTCCTCCTGATTGGCATGATATTTACACATGAGTTCCCATTGTGTTCAATCAAACCCCATAAATACATACCATTAAACTGTAAATGATGCAAAACAGATAGGATTGTAGGTTGAGGCTTCATATTCTGGACTGAGTTGAGAAACAAATTCACTGGTTTTGGTTCTGCATTTTATCCTGCTATATTAAATGAAGAAATAATAAGATATTTGAACATTATTCTAGTTACCACAGAATTCAAAAAATTTGGGAGGTATAAAATGAAAGGATATTATAGTTAATTGCTTTTTTTTGCTTTAGTAATAATGAGCACTCAGAATTCCGTATGCAGTGCCTGAATCATAATAAAGATAGACTGTTTTTACTCCCAAGCAGAAATCTCCACCATATTTTTTGGTGGGAGGTAGTCTATATGTCACTGCTTTCTTATGTCCTATTCCTGGCTAGGTAAGAATACATCCAAACAAATCACTGCAACCACCCGCAATCTTTTTCCTAAGAAGCCATTTAGAGCCCACTGTATAGTAAAATATTTCTTTGATATAAAGATGGTGCTTAAGGGTTGTAATTTTCCTTGAAGTATGCCATCTTTCCATTTTTTATGTATTTCATATTTTTATTTTTACATTGAGTGGGAATATGAAGCACATGGGAATCAGTGTAGTATAGATCTTCATCCTGCAGTGGATTGATTTGGGCAGATTATATTACAAATATATAGGTGTATGTGTTCATTTTTGTCCTGGTCTATTTACTTCTTTCTTCTGGTCTTGCCTATTTTGTAAAATGTAGCATTTAGCCAACATAACTACAGTCACACACATACATACTTAGAAGTAAAGGGCATTATAGTCAATACAGCATTTGTCCAAATATGTTTGCGTAGAATATTCCTATAAACGTGATCGTTCTTAATCAAAGAACATTGCAGCCACAAAAAATAATGTACAAACTACCATGATTTTACACGTAATAAAAATTCATCATTGTTATCAGGGGAGAATCATAGTGCCATGTGCTAGAAGTTTCATAAGCTTGATTTATAAGTGCTACTTTGCAGCAGTGAAAAAGTAGCCTGTGAAAGTCCAGCTTTTTAAAAAAAAAATGAATTCACATCTATCCTTGATGTTCTGACTGGACTGAAATGAAAAATATTTGTCTGGTTTTATTTTAATTTAAAAGACTTCCAATTGTTCCAAAATACATCAGGATATTCCTAGAAACACATCTGATTGTTCCTATTTAAGCTCTCAGAAATAGAAAGATCACTGAATTAGAGTATTATTTTCCAGAATAAACGCTTTATATGCATGATTTTTTGCTGAAGCTCTGAAGGAAAATTTTAATCTATAAGCATTCAGATCATATCCATGCATGAGCACTGCACCCATCTAAATATGAACCAATTGCCAAGCATCCTAATTTTGATCACATGGCCATAGGGATGTTGCATTGGTCATAAGTGTGAAAAATGGTCATAAGTCACTTTTTTCAGTGCCATTGTAACTTTGAATGGTCACTAACTTAACTTTGTAAGTCGAGGACTACCTGTATTCTGTTTCCTTTTTATATGAAATGAGCGTAAGGTTTTTGTCATTTGAGCTCTGGGAAATGGGTATCTTTTGAGTTACAGCCTTTGAACTCTTCTTTTGGCCAGGTGCAGGGAAGAAGGTAAATATTGACTGATTTATGTTATTTGCTGGTTCTCTTATTTCAGGACTGAAATAGATGGAAATAATTGTGGCTTGTTTTCACATTGCTTTTTGAGGAATTGATTGTGCATGGAAATGCTGGTAGTGTAGAAGAGTCCTTAAGTCTCATAAGGAAGCATAGGAGTTGAATCCCCATTTAGAAAATGCAGCAAACAATATTTTTTGGCTATTAGAATCACAGGCTGAGCCACACAATACATGCAGGCAAGCTTCTAATAGTACCACATGATCCACGGAGAGAGATTTAGAATGGCTTCAGTTGTCAAAGACAAGATTTCTACTTTTTTCCAGATTGAGGGGAACTTTGAAGAGTTTGAATTTTCACTACAGCATGTTAAATACAGGTAGTCTTCGACTTACAACAGTTCATTTAGTGACCATTCAAAGTTACAGTGGCACTGAAAAAAAGTGCCATTTTTCACACTTAAGACTGTTGCAGCATCCCGATGGTCACATGATTTACATTTGGATGCTTGACAACTGGTTCATATTTATGACGGTTGCAGTGTCCCAAAGTCTTGTGAATCACCTTTAGTGACCTTTTGACAAGCAAAGCCAATGGGGAAGCCAGATTCACTTACTAATTGAACAACTGCAGTGCTTCACTTAATAAATGTGGCAAGAAAAGTCGTAAAATGGGGCAACACTTACTAACAAATTTCTCACTTAAGTAACATAAATTCTGGGCTCAATTGTGGTCCTAAGTCAAGGGCTACCTGTGTATGTTATGCCAGGAATGGTTGGTTATTAGGACTTTCATTACAGTTTCAATATATTTTTCTCCTAAAAATTAGTTGAAAACTGTCACCTCTTCTCTGCAACAGGAACTCCAAGGAGCTTTTAAACACTATTTCCCTTCCTAAATTGCAGTAGCGAGATTGCATTAAAAATATAGAATATAAGATTATTAGGTAGTAATTTTCACTATATTGTATTTCTGTGGACATTTCTTTTAATTTTCTCCTATGTATCTTCTACGTTTTCTTAGTTCTCTTTTATTTGTTTGCATGCAAATTATAATACCTTGCCCACTTTAAATATTTTGGCTTCCAGAAATTTGAAGAAAGTGGTAAAAGCACTTTGCTTCTTAATGCTAATAATGGTAGGAAAGCCACAGTATATAAATATTTGAAGCCTTAAACAGCCCTTCATTAGAAGTTAATTTAGGACAGCCAAGTATAACAGAAATGCATTATGCTTTCGTTATAAATTTCATTTACTAGTAGCTGAATGTGTCTTGATTTAGTGGGGTTGGAGAGAATTAAAAATTTCAAAAGTAATTATGTTTAATTAAAAAAATCATAATGTTTAATTATGTACTTCAAGTTCAGTGAATTGTAGATCTTCAAACCGCTTCTCCTATGACAGTTTCTGAAATGGCACTCTAATACTACTACAGCTTCCTGTTTTTCCAGCATTGGTGTTCATAAAACAACCAGTAGTGGAGATTTTAATTAAGGCTTCTTATATTTAAGTTTACCTTTTAGAACAGAAACATCTCTGGTAGTGATTTGTTAATAATATTATTTCACGTAATTTGCTTTGGAAATCTTTTTTTAGTACTCTAATGGATAAATTTATTACTGTTAATCAGTGGGTAAAGTTTGTCATGATAGATCTTAAATAGTCTGGATTTGCATTGTTGTATAATTTTTTAAAGTGTTTTTAAAGACTTTTTTGGTTGTAGAAAGTCCTCGATGAATGCCAGGACCTGAGAGACTGCCAACTCCTTGTTAACAGTCGACTTTTTGGATCTGAGTTATGTCCAGGAGTCACTAAATACCTCCTAGTCTCCTTTAAGTGCCGACCTAGTAAGTAATTTGCAGAATGGTCATACACCATTTTTCTATATATGTTTCTTTCCGTTTAAATTGTAATAATAACTCAAAAATCCTTGCATGGATTTCTGCAAAGCCCTGACTTGACTAAATTTAAACATTGCAATCACGTGTAAAAACGTTTGTTTACCCTTACCCAATGTGGGCATCTTGTAGATTAGTGAATTTCCCTAACCAGGATGAACTTTGATGACTGAAGTCCCTATAACAGGAGGGCACCCAGAGCAGGAAACACTGGCTAATGGTAGCTGATAATGTTGCAATTATAAGTTAATAGGTTTGCATGCTATGTGGATTGTAGTATCCCAAAATAGAAATTATAGAGTTATCACAGGTGGCTGTGGATTCCTCTTTACAACTTGAGCTGTTTTAACTACATTTCTTCTGTTTGAGTGGATATAATATAAGCCAGGAGTATCAAACTCAATTTCTTTGAGGGCCACATCAGGTTTGTGTTTGACCTTGGGGGCCAAGTGGGTGTGGCCAGGGTGGGCATGGCCACTCACTGTTACTTGTGTTGGGGGTGCCTGTGGCGGCCTGTGCTCTGCCAGTGAAAACGGAGCTCGGGAGGGCCACATGCAGTCCTCCTGAGCTCTGTTTTCAGTGGCAGAAGCACTGTGGGCCAGTCCTTTGCTGTTTCCACGGCAGCCCCATGGGCCAGATCTAAGCACCCTCAGGCCGGATCTGGCCCCCAGGCCTTGAGTTTGACACCCCCTGATATAAGCAAAAACAAAAACAAAGGAAGGCCACCCTATTTAAATTCCATTACTGTTTTGTTTTACTAGTAGAAAAGTGATGGTGCATCCAACCTCCATTACCATGCAACATCATTGGTCCAATGCAGTAATTTATGGAGCTGAGAAGGCCTGCTAGAGCTGTTGCTGACATCCCTTTAAATTTTAATTCTTTTTTTCTTTTTAAGTATCTGGTGAGAAATGCTAGGCAAAGTCTCTATAGTTGCCAACATCTTCTTTTGGGTGTTGTTCCCCAATAGATGCTGGGAACAAAAAAGGACTTAATGATGCATGCAGCCCAGAGACAACAATTTTCCTATCAGTACCCAAAGTCATTAGGAGTGAATACTCTCTCTTCCTTAAAGTCTTAGTCCTGTATACTAAGGGATTAGCTTGGAATAGAGCCAAAGAAAACACTTGGCCTATTTTTTTCTAGTCCAACTAGTTGTCAAGAAAATGCACATGGTTCATAAAACATGGTGAAGAGTATCAATAATTATGAATATTTAAATCATCTGCCATAATTCTCCAACATGATAGGAACTGGTCTTAATCTTATTTGATTTCCATTCTGTCTTTTACTAGAGAAAACTAGTGCTGTGTATGGCACACAGTAGTGCTCAGTGGTACAGAATGAAAATACATATTTTTTCTTTGAAACGAACTCATTGACAGTCATACATGAAGTTATTTCTGTAACATTTTGGGTAACATTTTGGGACTAGTTAAGAAAAATAGAATACAAAAGTGCATAAAATGTGAATTTCCTAAAACTGATCACAGCTTCTTTATCAAGAGTACTCTAATTGAATATACTGTGTATAATTCTGCTGCAAATATTATGAGTAGTCCCTTTTTTTCCATAGCTAATAACTTTTTTTAACTGACTGTACAACAACGTTTGAAAAATACAAAACATCCAACTAATTTCAAAAACAAAAGTAAAAAATATTAGTGACAAATAATAAGAAGCAAACCTGGAACAAATTATGAACAGTCTAAATATAACACATATAATAAATACCTACCTATAAAACATTGATTGAGGCTACCTATGAAAAAAGTACCTGCAACACCTATATATGAATATTTCAAATTAGAAATATTTTTAATAAGTTATGAAATCTGTACCAAAGGGAAATGTATTGTGTCCTTTCTTGGAATGGTAAAAAAAGACTATTTTCAGTAATGGATAGCTGACAGTGATATTGTATCTACTCCCTTATACCTAAAACAATAGTACTTTTCCAATTTCTCACAATAATTACTTAGCAATTCCTCAAGCTCCAATTTTGTAATCAAAGATCTCAAAAATCATAACATTCCACATTTTGATATAATTCAACATTAAAATATTTAACATTAAGGAATTTCTCCATAGATCTAGATATACATTAAAATATTGCTCCAAAAAAGATGTCAGCACTGTAAGTCACAAGACAAAATCATATGAGTTAACAAACCCCAAGTTAGAACAATGATTGACTTTGCTGGATCTCTCAGTAAGTATGTGATGCTTTCACCATTTATCTGCACACTAGCCTCTGCATACACAAGTGGCAACAGAACCTGCACATAATTATTTTTTTGCTTATTCAAGAGCCCAGTTATCTCTCAGTGTTGTTGTTGTTTTTGTCCCTTCTTTTTCAGGTGAATATAAAACCAGATCAGTATGTGAAAATGAAGAACTGAAACTACATTGCCATGAATCAAAATTTCTTAACATCTATTCAGCCTCTTATGGCAGGTCTGCCCACGAGATGGACTTCTGTTCAACAAAAATGGATTATCTTCCCCAATATGGTAGGCTGATAAAGTTTAAGTGAGAACTCTTTATTCTAGAATTTAAGGGTTATAACATCTGTTTTTATCCTAGAGGAAAAAACCGATTTGCCTTTCCTGACTCCCACTGGCATGGGAGTTGAATGCTTGTAGTTGTTTCCCAATTCAGAATTCTTGGAATTGAGCAACTGTGAGGGTAGAACATGAAATTTACCTGGGAAAGTCAATGATGGCTTCCTTATGTTGCTTTTTTCATACATTCCTTTCACTTTGCTTCTGTGTTACTGAATGGCATAAATGGTTAAAATGATTAAATGGAAAGTCTGGCTAAAAGTTTAGGTTAATTTATGCTCCTAAAACATACTCTACTTAGCATGCATGGAAAAAGGTTCTACCAGTGGTGGGATTCAAATTTTTTTACTACCGGTTCTGTGGGCGTGGCTTGGTGGGTATGGTGTGGCATGGTTTGGTGGGCGTGGCTTGGTGGGTGTGGCAGGGGAAGGATACTGCGAAATCTCCATTCCCTCCCCATCCCACTAACCTGCTTTCCAGCTCCATTCTCCTATGGAGGGCAACCAAAGAAGACCCAGCCGATCAGCTGGGACTTGGGAGGGAGAGATTAGATAGGGGCAGAGCCAGTCAGAGGCGGTATTGCCGGTTCTCTGAACTACTCCAGATTTCCACTACCGGTTCTCCAGAATTGGTCAGAACTGGCTGAATACCACCTCTGGGTTGTACAATACATAATTTAATGAATGTGTCACATTCATGGCGAAATGATTTACAACATTAAATATGTGGTTTCATTTATTGTTTCTAATATAGCCTTTCTACCTAATATATTTAGGGGAACAGAATAATCTCTATTAGCATGCAAAGGATGGTGTTACCCCTTCCCATTGTTGTGATTCCAATTAAAAATAATTTCCCTGAAGCCATTGCTAGTCCTGGGAATTAACTCCCAAAGCAAATTGCTCTGAATAAGAGCAGAAGAGAATCTGCACCAGAATCTACACGCCACATTCCTACCCTTCGTGCTCCCACCCCACGGTATTTAGAATTTTGATTAATATTCTGCTGTTTACCAAAAATAATTGAGATCATATTTCTTTCCAACAATATCCTTCCAGTATTATATGCTCACTATAATATACACATTGGAGTACCAAGGAGCCTCAATTTCACTATAATTGGCTGTAGTTATTCGATTGAATAGATAGCTTTTGTGTAGTAGAGAAGAGACACCAGAACTTGAAAATAGAAGAGGCTTTCAATAGAGAAAGGAAGATTTGTCAGTTTTATTAAACTTTGGGCAATTTATGGCTTCAACAACTCTGCATAATTTGCATGTCAAAACCCATCTGAAACCCAGCTAATTGGTGACTTAAAGGATGGAACCCTTGAAAACAACAGATGCTGGACTATTAAATAGCAGCTCAGACCAGGGCTGATGTTTTGCCACTAGTTTCAGAACTGCTTTGATGGCTGCTTCTTTTCATTTCCAGCTGGATATATGTGCACCAAATAAAAACCATCAGCATTATTTGGCACTTGTCTGGTCGCTAACCACTAACTGCAAAAGATGGGCAAGAATTGCAAGGGTTTAGAATGAACTGTACTCATGATCATGAAACATGGGTGGGGGTGGGGGTTGCTTTTAATTCCGTTATTTATCTTCAACTTAAATGGGACTGCTTTGATTCTGTTTAGAAAGTGGCATGGACCTTTCTTATCCTTGGATAAGAATTTGGATATACTATTGATTATATTAGAAATCGCAATCTTAACAAAGGGTAGTTCATTTAAATGACATGCAGCCTAATCGTTTCAGCCAGAGAAATCCAATATTTTAAGTTGCATAAAAGGGAGATAGTTTGCATTTTCTGGACAGGGAGGAAGTATCCCAACATATTTGCAGTCCTGTCATGTCCCTGTAAGTACCAGCTGAATCAATAGTGCACCTCTACATAAATCCAGATTTCAGGTTTTATCTCCTTGTTTTGAAATAACTATTTATATCTCTTCCAAGCTATTCCTCAAATAGTGTTCCAGAGCAAAACCCCAATTTTGGTTTGGTAATTCTGTGTGTTTATTTATGTGAAGCAGAAGGAGAGGGGTGTCATTGTCACATATCTGAAAGCATTTCCCCCTTTTATTAATTAAAGTAAATTACTGGCACATATTGCAAAAATTCTTATATTGATACTTACAAAGATCTAAAGCAAAAATAATAGAGAATCCATCGCTATTTTTCCTTCAGCAGTAAGTGTATGTATGTATGTATGTATGTATGTATGTAT